ATATATATATATATATATATATATATATATATATATATATATATATATATATATATATATATATAGGGTATATATACATCTGCGCTGTTTTTGAAATCTGTTATGTTATGGAGTTGAAAGGTTGTTATTAGCTGTCTTTGCAATGCCAGCAAAATTTTCAAATTGTAATGAACTGTTTTTCGGCAAAATAAGGTTAATAATTGTTGATTATTCTCGTTAAACTCTCGAGAGTGTTTGTTGGGATTACTTTAATTGTTTGCATTCCATATTTAGAAACCAGTTTTTTTTCAGCTATGTGGAGGATAAAAGCTGGAAATCTGTGGTACTTTTTCACTGGTTGAATATTTTAATCCATTTATAAGTGCATCCATCGTAAGATTGGTATTTTTTACGGCTTTTCTTTACTAGTTGATTATTAAAGTTCTTTTTATTGAAATGCTTGTAGAGACTTCGAAGAAGCTTGTTTTTTTCGTGGTGCGTACTTTTTTTTTGCATGGCACGTGGATTTTTTTCCGTTTTCTGGTTTGCCCAATTTTTTTTCCATTAATGGCGGGATATTTTCGCTTATTTTCATTAATTGACATTCATATGGTTAAGAAGTATTATTTATATCCAGATTTTTAATGTTAATGTGCTGAACTACTTCAGGAATTGCTTTGTTGATTGCTGTTTTGAGGGTTTGTATTGGTAAGTTGCACGGGTCATTGCAGGTTTTTTTCGCTGAAATGGAATCTTAGCAACTATTTACAAATTATTAAAACTGGGCTTATGGCAGCTATTGTTATGGGTCATGTGGAATATACTGATACTAACGGTATGTTTCTCGGAGGGAATGGTGCAGGTGGAATCTTGTTGTCAGCTATTAAAATTACTATTGTGATGATCTTGTTATCAGCTATGTATAGGACTCAGACTTTCTTAAGGGATTCCGCTGTTGTAGACATGCTTTAATTTTTACGAAATCAAGTTGAATGAAAAGTTGTGTAGGGTAGACCTTTTGAGATTTATTGTAAATGTTCAGTTTTAGGTTTTATAATGCAGAATGGCGGCGTTGTTCCGCCGTCACTTCTCCAGGAAAACCGTGTCCCACGTTTCTATAAGGAAGCTATTGCTAAATGCGGTGCTGCAAGCCGATCACAATTACCTAGTACCGCACTTGTGTATAATTTAATGGTCACATCATGTCTACCGCGTCCTGTACTCGGTAATATTTGGTCGTTGGTAAATCGGACCATGCCTGGTCAACTTACACGACAAGAATTCTTCTCATGCTTAGCACTAATTGCACTAACACAGGCAAACTTTTGTTCTTATTGGTTTCACTGTCCTTCCATTCCGGACTACAAAACAAAATATATGTGAACTAAGTGAAGACAGAAGCCTTTCTCACTGCTAATTTGTGATGACGTTTTTAACGTTTTTAGGTGGTGAAACTTATCCTATGCGGAGATATTTCAACTATATGTAGAACAGAGTATTATAATATACAAAAATTTTTTCAGTTTAGTGAGTAAATTATGACTGAAGCAACGAAGGATTGAGCAGAATTTATGTATGTAAGGTGTAATTCTATGTGCTAGTGTATAAGATGTTAATGCAAATAAATGAGGAAAGATAATATAAGTGTATGTGTACAACTGAACACAATTAGCTTTCAAGAACTATTACCTCTTTATCTCTTAAGAATCGCTCAAGAACTTCCTATGTTACTTTGAGCAATTTAATGAAAAACTCTAATTTACATACATTTACGTACATTGTATGCATTACTTTTGACGCAGCCTTTTTCCAGAAAGGCCAACCATTGTCAGCATTGTCAACAATGTCTACACTGCCAATCCCACACTTGCAAGCGTGCGCGCCATTTGATCGACACTTTCCTGATGGCGATATTTTCCAACAGCAGAGATTTCGTCAAGCCGTACAAAAAACTCCTGATTCCTTAGGAGTAGCAGTAAACCTCCAGACAGTGGCAGCAACATCAAGTGCAATATCGCTTCTTGCCGATATCGACTTTTCAGCCAGTAATTCAACCACTTTCACTCAGTCAACGACAGTGTCCGTTACACAGATTTCTGCTTCACAATCACATCCATCAATCAGCTCTGTTAGTACGTCTCATGTGGATAGTACTGCTTTGGAAACTCAAACCCCGATCCCTCTTACTTCAAATCATGTTACAACTAATTTGCATAATCAAGTTCTTTCGAAAGATGTATATCAATCAGCAACCAGTATTTTGCAAAATCTTGAATTATCGGATGAAATTCTGGATGTTGTTCCTAATATGTCGAAATCAAATTCACGAACTCTGCTTTCGGAGACGATTCCTTGTAACGGCAGCATTTCGACAAATATTGATGCGGATAAAACTGTAGGAATTTTAGAGTCAGTACAAAGTACGCCTTTCTTTCTATTCATTTCCTTCATATTATTAACTTTAATTAAATAATTCTTTATTCCCTGTGGCAATGTTCATTTCTGGAGATAGCGACATTATCACCATCAAAAAGTGAAGCAACTAAATACAGAATAAAAGTAGTGGAGGTGTTTCAAAATCATTCATAGCTTGATTACTAAGTTATACACTCTAATTTGCTAAGACCTTTTAATATCCTGCATGCTCCAAATTAATGAAAAGTTTTTTTTGTTACATTAGAAAATGATTGTGGAATTCAGCAGGGAAGAACTTCTGATTTCAGGCTCTGATATTTATGCGACTATGAAACTGACAACCGGTGCGAGTAAAGACAGAGAAGTATGTTTCGTTCGCACAGCTTTTTTTGATTGCTTAGAGTTGAGTTATAAGGAACGAATTCTATACGAAGTAAGCAATTTTATTATTGATAAAGAAATAAAACGATATTTTATAGGAAGAATGCCTTTATGTTTGGCGGCGTTGCATTGAAGAAGCATACATATTGTTAAATGATGCTGACTCATTACTGTCTTGTTCAGCAATGGCACATATTGCAGAAATTGTTCATACCGATCGTGGTGCGAGGTACTTGAATGCACTTTATGAAATCCATGAAATGGTCAGCAATTAGTACTTTTTTACATATATTTAAAAATTGTCGAAGAACAAACAAGTTATCTTATTTATGACCTCTTCAATAAGCTTATCTTAAAGAAGAGTTTAAGCAAAAAAGTTTTTTTTTCTGCTTGCGTAAGTTTATCCTTATAAAGCGGTCTCTCAAGGTGACTTGGGATAGATTTTAGACAATATCAATTACATTAAAGGAGGAATATGAAGTGAAAATGAGAATGTTATACTGTACCGATGGAAAAATCTTTGAATAGTTGACTGTATCCTCCTTTACTTGAACTAAAACTTCCATTGATTTCTGAAATCACAATTCGGTATTTATTATTCCCAATGTAAAATGGTATGGTAATTGTTGAAAGAAATTTCGGGATCAGTTGACAGTTGTTTTTATTTCTGCTTCTTGTTAGTTTTCAAGAATATTCATTTGAGGAATGTGAAGATGAGGACTGGTAAAATTAAATTAATTTTATAAATGTTTTTGAAAATGAATTTTTAAAACAAGTAGATGTTGGTTTCATTATTTCTTCGGTTTGACAGAACAAGCTATAGTATGTGAAGTACTTTGGTTCTAAGAAAATTGTGTTATTGAATCATTTTTGCAGACACTAAGAGTACGGAAAGGAAGAGTAGATAAGCTGATTAAACAGAAAGAACTGCTTGATAAAATCGACAAAATATGGGAACGTCTGAAATGCTTCAAAGAGAAAAGTATTGATAGTGAGGATACAAATCAACTGGCAGAAGCAGTTAACATAACCATTCCCTCAATACCCATTCCCTCATTATGTGGTATTTGCTTGTTATGCGTTCCCCCAGTTTCTAAGCTTGAATTTACTGGTACTATATATCATAGGCAATGTGCTAATTTATGGATTAATCGAATCGATTCGTTTCTACCCAAATTGAAGAAATAAATTTCTTCACCGAAATCTATGTATTTCATTCTAAACTCCACTTTATATGATGAAATGAGTTATATTTAATCACTCAGACGCTCCTTTTCTCATGCCTACCTATTACCAGTGATTAATGAATTTATATCGACCTGTTTTATTTTATTCGAATTAACAAAAGTAGAGAATTCGCTTATTTGTTGTAATATTCTTACGTTGGTTGAAAATGCAGATTTTTTTTTAGAAAATAGTACAGATTGTCTTATGTCAAGAAACTTGATCTGATACGAATGCTTCTGCTTTATTTTAATATTCTACATAGTGCCTTTCAACCGTTTTATCAATTACTGGTATCTTCCGAATTGGTTGAAAAGACCTGTCATAATGTGTACCTTCCTGTTTATCTTTTTCTTCGTCTTTCTGTTTTGCTGATTATCATCATCGATGCAAATTTTCAATTTTGTTAATTTCAGACATTCTTATTTAAAATTTCTATTGCGGGAAAATGTACCTTCCCTTGAAAATTTGCATCGATCCCAAGATGGCAAATGAAAGCAGAAGTAATATTCTGTGTTACATATTTCGCTGTTTACAGTGTCATTGTATTACTCTTATTTGTTTGCAGATAAATGGCTTGTTTAATAGTTTCATTGTCTTTCATTGCGTAATTTTCCTTGTGGAGAGTACAGGGAATGCAGTAGAAATAACTGCTTCACTGCAATATGAGACCATATTTTGATACTCCAAACTATTTTATTTTATTCATATATTGAGACTATATGTGGTAAAGACTAGTGTTTCATTTAATGGTACCGTCCATTTCACTGAAAGTTTCAACATTAATATGAATGAGCAGTGCACGTAATAAACAGTGGAGGTTAAAGAATATCTTGCAACACGTCTGCACAAACGAATCATGAAGGTAGTCTTTCTTTGCAAACTGTTTAACTGTAATAGTAATGGTGTCATCTATAAAGTGGATAAGTACTCCGTCACGATACGAGCAAGTTCTCGACAATTTTTTAAATTTTGATCAGTATTTTCTGACATCTGATCACACTGTGAAACAATACTGTTTTTTAAAAGGATGCAACATCTCGCCTTATACTTGGATACAACATTTTCACCTTACTTAATCTCAGTTGTCTCATATTTTTAGTGTTGAGAAAACTGCAATTATGACAAGTGATGAAGCAGAGTTGGTCAATTATTAATGGTCATAGTGTTTTGTGAAATATGCCAGTTCTTTTAGTTTTTAAGAAAAGAAATGATAACAGAAAGATTTTCAGTTCTTAGCTTATTTTTTTCAGTTTTTCGATAATCTGAAAGAAAGAGAATGAAAAATGCTGGTTGAAGTAAGAAGCATGCTAATTTAGCATAGGATATTTCGTTCTCTTTATTGATCCCAAAAGTAGTTGTATCGGTGTTTGAGGAATTTATTGCATAAATCTCCGCATCTTCAATTATTCCCATCTCTATCCTCTTTCTATTTTCCTTTTTTCCTACTGCTGGATTGCTGTCATTGCGGAAAAGTATTTACGTGAATTAAACTATAAATGTGATGTCACTCCTCTATTGGTATAAAACAGAAACAAAGGACCACCCCCGCTTCCACCTATCGATTTCTCCTCCTTTTATAAGGGGACATGAATAATATTGATGCGTTTCAGAAGAAAGTAGTACATGTCCCATCGATTAGAAGATAAAATATAGACTGACGAAATTACGTCAGTCTAAAGAAGTTGAGCTACCTGAATTACCTATCCATCTCAGCTTCATCTCCAGGTTTGGTCGTGGTATCGAAATAATCTAAACAATTATCCACGAAATCGAATTCGAATTTTCCTAATCTTACTGAAGTTTTTAGTGCACTAAGGCTGCATAAGGATTATTTTAGATTCAATCTCGCAAACAATCAGCAGATATAACAAATATTGAAATATTTTAATGAAGAGCAATATCTTAATTCTCTTAATTATTATACTTGGAATATTTTACTGTAGTTTTACATTCTATGCCTTATGATAAGTCATGCATATCAGTAGACTTTTTTCTTGCATTAAATCAAGATTCGACAAGTGACCTCACAGATTCCTAAATCATCTCATTTGGATGTTTATTTGGTTAACAAAAATGAATACTTCGATTACTTGAAAAAATTGACGATTTATGAAGGACAATAGCTGCAAATATGTACATTAAAAAAATATATCATCGGTATAACATGAAGACTGATAAACTGCCATCACTGCCATCATTTCAAAGATTCTAAAGAATCCCATGAAACTGTCTAACCAGTCTAACCGTGAAACCTGTCTAAATTTCATAGATAGAAATATCTTCAGTAACATTTTTAAATTCCTTTATCTTACATTCAGATGCTTTACTGTATTCTTGGAGATTCGTAGTAATAGCTATGGTTATAAAATTATCTTGTGATCGGCTTTCGAACCCTGAGGTTGCGTGTCGAATGCTATACGACCATTTCCTTGTAGCTGATATGTACTTCCAGGAATCGATTCTGTTATTTTTGGCAACCTGTCTTGCTCTGATCTTGAATCGACTGAAGTTTCTGGTATTGTTTCTCCACCTATAACTTTGTCTTCTGAACTTTTTAGATAATACTCATCCTTCAGTTTGCATTCACGGGCTAATGATGATGATAGCTTTGTGGGAGAAGTACCAGGATCAATGGTCATAGAAATGGGAGAAGCGATGTATAATCCAATGGAAGGAGATGGCTCACGTTTTTCGGATTCTGAATTAATGGAAAGTTCAAGTCCTCTTACATCTTTGTGTTCGGAATTTGATTTAACATACGCTTCGACGTGATTCTTTTTGGAAATGATTGAAAATGTATCCGTCAAGTGATCTTGTCCAGTTAATTTTGGTTGAATGCTTACGTCAATTTCCCTTCTTTCCGATCCCTCATGCAGAATCTGAGTAGTTCCACGTTCTCTCTGATTGTCTACTCCTGACATCTTTGTTTTGTTAACATTTTCTGCAGCTTCTTCCAGTACAATTTTCTCCGCGGGTATCGATCTTGCAGGAAGCAGTCTTATCTCATCTTCAACTGTACTAACAGTCAGAAACTGTCTTATCTCACCAAGTGTTGCTTCTGGTTTAGATTTTTTAACAAGCAGCGCTTTTTCGTTTTCGTTTCCGAATCTGGCAGACGCTGGAGACAATTTCTCCGTCACTTCAGAAAATCCAGTTTTGGCAAATTGCTTTTCTACTTCAGTTTTCTTTCCTTCAGCCTTTTTGCTTTTTAATTGCTTTTCCTTATCAACAATCTTTTTCGCCGATTTCGCTTTATCATTCTGGGCTTCCAGTTTCTTTTTGACAGAATCCATGAATTTCTCACTTCCATCTTTCAACTCATAACTTGTGGACAGTACTCCACATGTACCTTTCCTGGTTACTGTCTCACTTGTCTTTTGGGTGATTCCATCGGTTCGCTTCATCTGAACATTCATTGATGCGCCTACTGAAATTTATCAGCACTTGAAATAATGTGCATTTGATTATGACGATTTGAAATGGATTGAAGATTTAAGTTAACAGGAGTAATGTCGATGAAGGATAATAAATGAACTATTTGACTGAAGAAAAAGGAATGAATAAAGAATGGAAGGGAAGAACCTGTTTTGGAGCGCGGTGTTGGAAAGGTTGGTGTCGTGTAGGATCGTCGTCCAACTTGTGGGTTAATTCTTTCATTATAATACTCTATTGTTGTGCTACTTAAATGGGACAAAATCCGTGGTGTTGACGAGCCAAATGCAAACGTCCCACGCATCCCTCGATCTCCAGAACCTTCCCGACTTCCTGCAAGACGACTTGAATTCAGGGTAGTTTTATTAATGTCTATCATATCTTATTCCATTCTTATTTCTACTCAGCAAGCCAATCAGTACTTTCTACTATCTAAAACGTAAGAATAAATAACGGACTGTCTGTGCTTTCATTATCAACTTATTGCTTATCAATCAGTCAGTATTTATCAACATCTTACTGTATTCAATCACTCCTATTTGTTGCACACATTTTCAGGTCATTACTGCTCGTTTCACCGATCTACCTCACTTTTAATATTTTTCTCCTTATTGCAACTGCTGAAATGGAAGAATGAACCTATTAAGGAAAGGGAAAGAAGGAATCGGAGAGGAGAAATGTCCATAATTGCGCTTATTTGGAATTAGGAAAAAAGGAATCGTCATAACGCCTGGAGTTGGACTTGCATGGATCGACAAAGAGATCCGTTTAAGTTGTGTTTAGGACGTACTTTTTTTTCAAACAACATTTAACATAAGAATTATTTGAAACAGCCTTTGAAATGAGAATCTTTTAAAATTTCAGATTTTTTGATACTCCTGAAATCAAAGTAAAAACAGTATCACTTTCCAAGTAATACTGTTTTTATAAAAAATTATTATGTGTCGTTTAACTCAGTATTCCTTCAGGAAAAGCTGAATTGATGAATATAATTAGCACCATTATTCTCCATAACTTATAAAATAATTAATAACATTACTCTCAATCTATACCTTCAGGTTTATATATTTTTGAATGTGTCAGAGAGTTTTAAAATTTATGCTTGTCTTTCTTTTTTTTTTCCTGCAATAACTATTTAATTTTGAACGAAACAAATTTCCCTTGGCTTAACAAACAGCTAGAAATATTTATGGTTCGTTTTCATAGGTAACCTTTGAAACGCAAATAAATATTTTCCTTTTTTCCCCACTACCGTTACGGACAACTTAACGGAAATTATAATCCAAAGCTTTTTTGAAGTCCGATACGATGATAAGTTTCGACGAAGCACACATAAAATTTTACACTTTTCAGTACTTGTGTCACAAATTTCTACAGCATTATCATCACTCGAACTTTGGTGAGGACATTTCTAAGGAATCTAATTTTTCCTAAAAGCTGGTGCTTGTCATTAATCTATTCTTTCTCTATTTTTTTTTCGTTCTCAATCCTGTGCTGAAGGTCTAGATGATTCTGACTTATTGTATGAACAGCAGTAAGTAGAATTTAGCGATATATCTTTTGACAATATGGAGGTTGCTAAATTCCAAGTTGAATGCATTGATGAAATACAAAAAATATCCAGCTTTTTCGGAAAGGCATCAATCCACAGATATAACTTGTCTCATGATAATACATTACTGCTGATGATGTTCCGGATTTCAACCATACCAAACACATTTTGAAGTGATAAAAACAGTTGCTGAACACATTTGCAGTTAGTATTCATCGATAATCGATTCTACTTGCATGTATGCTCAGAAAATGATAATTAGAAGCAAACCAATTACCAAACCAAGCTTTCTAAGCAGAGTTTTGTTAAATATCGAACAGTCATGAAAAAGGAATAGTACATGGAATAAATGCGTCTAAGAGCGCATATTGAAATGAGATGTAGTTTGCTGAAAATTTTAGGTCTGTAACTTTGCAGAATAAATCTGAAATTCATTATTACACTCCTAATAAACAGACATTTTTAGAAATTGTGAAGAGATCAATAGATTTTTTAAATATTCTAGGACCAAAGCCAATAGTAAAACTTGAAATTTCCAACTTTATCGGACAAAGGGAAGCCTGAATTTCTGCTTCTCTTGATACTGATCATTAGAGATGCTTTAATAAGGTAAAGTTGATTTGGAATGCCTTACAGAAGCAATTAGAATCTTTATCTACTTCACTTTAATTCATTTTAATGAGATTCACTTTAATGTGCCTTTAGTATGAAGCGAAATTGCCGTTTTATTTAAAATCCGACATATATTTTTTTGAAAAACTGACTTTCAATTTTTAGAAAGTAATTAACTTTAATTCGTCAGACAAATTTGGACTGAACAATTTCTTGCGATGTAAGAATGACAACCACTACCTTGGAATTTTCAATCAAACAAAAAAGAATGCAGTATGTCAACCGAAGCAGTGAAAAACAGATTCAATCTAGATGAGAAATAAACCGCAGCCATATGTCCTGGCTAGATGATTCATCTCATATATCAAACCATTTCAGTCGAAGAGTAGTCAATTCATAATGCATGCAAATTACTTATTTTCGAAACTGAAAGGCCTACTTTGTTCCTTACCTGATTGGTTTCGGGTGACAGACCTTGCCTGTCGCATATAATATGACAACGTTAGGTCCTTTGCCCGTTTTACCGGCTTAATTTTTGAATCGTATGTACGTAGCATTGCGGGTACACTATACATGTGAGAGAGGTCACGTGGTGTCGATGATCCAAATACAAATGTTTTTTTTCGCTACGTTCCGTTGTTTTTCTATGATCATTTGGTAAACCACTAGCCATTCTCAGTCAGATTCGAGTCGCACTCGTTGTGGTCTTCCAGATGATGAACAGTTTTCTGACACTTCTGAAATTCAAAAAGCAAAATCTGAAAAGCCTATTTCCACCTTTTTTCGCTTGCTAACATAAATATGAATAAAAAATTTGTTTTGAAAGGTAGCTTGTCATTCTTGCTAAAGTTAACTGGGGATGTTTAAAGCCAACAGATTTTGGGTTGGCCTATAATGAATAATAAATGAAATTAATCAAATAGGTGGCACTTTTTCCTGCAAAAAAGAAATTAAATTTTTTTAAACCAAAGGAATGCGCTTCCCTTGCCTTGCTATGCAGTGTTGGGAGAGTGAAATGGAATGAAATGAAAAGATGAAAAGTGCAAAAGCAACTGCGAATAGAGTTATTGGAAACTTATGGACAAATGAGAAAAGCCTAACTGAGAAAATCCTTGGCCTAGCTGAGGTCGTCGAAATCTGGAAAACTAGAGAACGGTTGTGGAAGGTATATAGTCACGAACTCATTCTATCCTGTTCCTCTATTCTTCCTTTCTTCCTGCTGTTTTTTACTACGATTACTTCCAGCCAAATCTTTATGGAAAAAATGGCTTCCTTAAGTTTCTGTGAAAGCAAGCTTTATTTATTCCTCTTTCTGAACATCCAGTTTACATTTCTCTATTGGGACTGCAAAATCTCCAGAGAAATTCCTTTCAACTTTTTCTTCAATACTTTACGAAAGAAGTTTAGCCAATAATTTAGAAAATGATAGCAAGGCTAGAAAAAAGACATAAATTTGCTTAAGCCAAGAAAGATATTACCGATCTTATCAGTCTCACATCAATAAAAAGCAGAAGTACTGGAATGATTCAAACTACTCATCAGTTTCCTTCTCTTACCTGATCTACTTCACCTCTCTTTGCTAAATCATCTTTTTTATTCGTACATTGATCATTTCAAAAAAAGAAGCAAGTTGCATTCGAAATTTCAATTGTCAACTAAAATTATGCATACGTACACAAATATTCAGTTGAAAATTTCTAAATATGCAACATGGGCTATAAAATAAATAAACAATGCATATTATGAACGAAGTAACATCACCATACACTTAAACCTCATATAGAGACCTTCGATAGGTTTGTGGAACAAAGATTCTTTCCCATAAACTTCTCATTAAAAAGGAAGCAGGGAGCCTAAAACAAATACATTACATGCTGATTATCAGAATTATTCGAAATTTTTTTTGCGACCATTATCATTTCAAGTTTATGGAACGAAAGTGAAACGATTTAAATGAACAGAAATTAGAAGACAATATTTAATTGATTCGACATGACAATTATTTAATTCAATTGATCCGTACTCACTCGACACAATATTTAATTTCGCATTCACAAAACTTAATTTTTAAACAACAGATGGATAAATAAGCAAATAAATGAATAAATAAATAAAAAGCATTTAGCAAAACGCAAAAGGTAGATCTAATGTTTTTTGTGGGTGAATCGTAAACAGAAAGATTTATCCTGCAATAACGACAATGACATGAACAAATGGAAGATAATATTCTGATGAACTCAAGATCACATTAAAAATAATTATGACTGCGAGCAAATGATTGATACTATCTTCTGTAAGAGTGGTTACTGCCAACTAAAATTGTATTCTTCAGTACGTTTACTTCTCGAAAATTTCAGGTTTTTCGGAAGCCATCACACAAAATTCAACATTGAAGAAATCTCAAGACGAAAATACTTTCGCAGACGAAATCCGTCACATAATTAAATTAAATGGAAAGTTCCAGTGGGAAAGCGGAAAGCTGACTAAAAGCTAATAATATCTCACCCTGTACTAAAATTAGGAAGTCGTTAGACAAAAAGGATCATATTGATAATTGAAAAACAGAATCCAAATCACTTGGAGTTTAACGAAACTATGAATTTTCCGCCACACAACTGCTAAATTAATAACACAATCGTCCATACTGCTTTAAGGTTTTCAACGTTAACAAATCACAAACATCAAAACTGAAGATGACCACTACTTTTTTTATTAAATAAAATAGCTGTTCAAGATTAATTCTAGACAAAAATAACGGTGCGCTCAAAAGTCTGAAATCAGAATCCGTGCAACATCTGCAAGGACGAAAGCCGGAAGCGGTGACACGGACGAATCTCGCCTAAACAGTCCTAGAGAAAATATCCTTCGAGTTAGATGAGCATAAAGCACCAACTTGTACATGGCTGTCCAAATACCTGCCCACAACTCCCGCATTCACGAAATCCTTGTTATCAAATGAAAACAATTCGAGGAAATATTTATTTCACAGAAGCTAAAAAACTGGACAGAGTGAACAAGAATCATTTTTATATCATCTAAAAAACGGTTGCTTCTGCTACTTCTAGGCATAAGTTTGATTTAAAACATTAATTAAATAATTTCCACAAAGAAACTGTCATGAAAAAGCGTCTCTTGGAAAAATATTACCGCCGAATACCAAATTTGTTGTGAAAAATTTCACTTCAGGGAAATGCAGAACAAAAACCTAGTCATAGTGTGAGATGAGAAAATAACTTATGATTCTGAATGTAAGATAAAATTGTGGATATAACATTTGAATATCGCCAAATCAGTTGCAGAACAGATCACAAAAATACAAAGTGGAAATCCAGCGGAATCAGCTGATGCGGGAGATAAGCTGGTAGTGAACACAATTCATAAGTAACTTCAGAAAAAAATTGCTACAAACTGATTGCATAGTGATAAGGCCTGTGACTGCAAATTTTGAGGTTTGCAAAAATCAAACTGGAATGGCGATATTGTGAACTCTTTCAAATTTCTGTTAAAAACAAAACTAATCCTTCACAACACGACAAAATGGAAGTGTGAGAAATTGATGACAACGCCTACATAATTATTTTATTCTCAACCAAAGACTTTATGTTTCTAATAGCTAGACGGCCAATTGTAAATTTACAAAGACAGTATTCTCTTGAACAAAAGTAACAATACAGAAAGCGCTTTAAAGAACAAAGCGAAAATACGACAGCTGCAATTTCTTACGACGCTCCCAAAATTAGAGCCACAATCATGCCATATAAACCCAGTACCTGAAATGATTAAAAAGTTGGAAATTAAGGATTGAAGTCTAACAACGAATTTAAAGTGAACGAACAAACTAAAATGCATTAAGAAAAAATCAATCCAACTCTTATTCAGTAACTTCCTTATACAAATTCTACTTTTCTCAAGTTTGTCTTCTGTTAAGAATTCGCGAATAGAAAAACTTCACCTTATTCACACATCAAAATGTGAAATGAGACTTAGCATCTTCGACTGAATGGTAATTTACTCAAAGGTAGCTAATATGACTTTCCTCTTTATTCAGCTAAATTCATTTCATTTAAAACTTCATATACACGAATTAACCAATAAAAAAAAAAAAAAAACTAAATTTTTTGAAAGAGGAGTAATCAAAACTAACACAAATCAATAAAGAGATAACTACCTCAGAGAAGATCAGAATGAGGATCATGCCAACGAAAAGCCGTGGTTGTTGAGCGGTTCCTCTAACTCCCGCATCACCCACAATACCTATAGCATATCCGGCACCAAGGCCACACAGACCACATGTAAGACCGGCAGCCAAATGAGCGAATCCTTTATCTAAAGTGTAACCATCTGAAGCCTTCGTTACTTGGCCTTTCAGTACCACTGCCACCTGCAACACAAATGAAATATACAAATGGAATACATAAATGAAATACACAATGAAATGTATATGAAATATACAGTGGGATATACAACTGCTACAACAATATTGTTAATTTATCGAAATTAAAAAGACCGACTTATGCCTTCTTTTTCGTTTGAATGTTATGATTTGAACATCTCTAAATTCTACAACTAATTATAATTCTCCAATAAATGGAAGAAAATTTCCCTCAAAATCCAAATGAAACTGCTGTAACTGAAACTATTGTACTGATCGAGAGATATGAAATTCAGGAAGTGTACAAACTTACACACAAATAGTTCCAAAAAAGTCATATAAACTCTAAAAAAACTGACATTTCATATAAACTCCATTTTAAAAACTAAATGCTTGATGAAGACCTGTGACTGACTACCGATTTACATGGAGAAGGTAAATAATTAAACAGATCAGTTCATTTTAGAAAACCAAATATAAAACTCACGACTAGACCGTAGATACCAATAATGCCAGCCATAATAACAGGAATAACGGATTTCATGATCAGTTCGGGACGCATCACGCCCATACTCGAGATACCCACAGCTGATTTAGCAGTCCCATAGGCTGCGCCAAGTACGGTGAATATCTGAGCTGATGCTGCTCCCATATATCCAAAAAAGGGCGAATAAGCCGGAGTTTCTGCTGCTGCCAAATCGTACGACATTTCTTTGAGTTTCCCGCTTATTTACCGGAAGAAATCTGAAATAAAAAACCCGCCTTGCTATGAAGAAGTTTCTTCCCAGCAGCAATAACTAGTAACGCAAAAAAAATGGCTTTGCAATTTCCACGATTACACAAAAAATAAAAAACAAATGACAGTAATGAACTGTAAAAGAGAGATAGGTACCTGGACAAGGACTCAAAAAGGTAATATTGATGAATCACCTAATACACTATTTCACAATGGAATATAATGTCTACAAAATACCAGCAGAGCCAAAAACATTTAGTACAAATGCAAATGCTTATTCCAAACGCCAAATAAAAACAATGGTCTTTTGATTTCTCTTTTACAACAAGAGTTTGCTAGAAATACAACTGAAAGATAAAACAGGAACAAATTAAGAAACAACTGCTCCATTTAGAAAATAGATGATTGGAACATTCTCTTCTAGCGAAACAATTTAGATTCCGCTAAAATTTAAATCGTCGAGTACCAAACAAAGCAAGAATAATGCTGTCTCTTTCGCTGACAACCAGAAATAAAGTAATTCATTTGCTATCAACATACTCACTCTGCAAAAATCATGGGAATGGTATATAGTACGAAGCCTCATCTCAATGATAACGACAATGGAACAGAAATGATCCTTTTCACTGAAGACATTTCAGTAACGGAGAAACAGTGATATTGAGATAATCTATTGACAGTGCTTGAAAAGCTGCAAAATCAAATCTTCCCTTAGTATTGAATGAATATTACTTCACAATTTCATCCATTAAAATGAAGCTTGTAAAAATAATCCACAGTAAACAAATCTATCACCACAATGACGAGAAATGCAGTAAATTTACTTACAGCAAAGTGTCAAGAACGAAATCTACTGTCTTCAGTAGAAAGTATAACGTGATGATATCAGTTTCCATCCTACGAATATATTTCAATGTTTGATTTCACACAGCTGCTTCTCACGATGAAAAACTGAACTTTCTTATCAAAAATCTTTCAATCCAAAACGTCCTGAAATCACCTGTTAAGCTCTCCTAACCGCTAAGCCATGTATAAGTTAGGGAGTGTTTTCTAAATGAAACTGATGCGTAAGACCTCCTGCAAATGTTTTGTTACAAGCTGATAATGTAAGGAAATCTGTGATACTGAAAATAATGTATGGTGAAAATTATAAGCGAGAACTCGAGAAAGCTGAAAGGAAAAGCCTCCATAAAAGCAAAGCTAATGAATCCATCAAAAGGCTCCGTTCAAATAAATATAGTTCGATAACGCAAAAAACGTACTAAGGAAATGGTATTACTTCATCACTAACAAAATATATCTATCAAATATGGGCCAACGAGTTGACATCGAGACCTATCAGTTTTATAAACCTTATGTTCGTAACAGCATCATCCAAAGACTAAATTGGAAATGCAACAAGTATATAAAAATGGTAGATATTGATATCACGAAGCTCAAATCTGATCATTTAAACACGATTCGGGTTTTTTCATAACTGAAGCCAATAACACCTAAAAATATTATGTGACCTCAATTAATCGAAATACCAAAGTGATCTTTCTTCACCATTAGTCCGCAAAATAAGGTAAATAGTCATGAACACCTAATTACATGCTCCCATAAGCAACATCACATAAATTCTGAACTTGAACTAATCAATTTCAAAACAACTTTAAATCTGAAACAATTCAAGCATATTGAAAATGAAATTATTAAAATGAGCTGTGAAGCTTGCCGTATGTAAATGACAGCTGAAACAAGATAACTCTGATAACGTGACATCGCAATTTTACTGAAACATCATGTACAAATCTATGTGCAAAGTACACGAAAAGTAGAAATATGGACTAACGTCATTAAATCATAATCTAGGAAAATCCCTTTAGATTGTTGCAAAGTAATACATATTGAACTTTGATAAGATTTTCTAGGTCTCAATAAGCAGCACATTGTTAATTTCGCAATCTACTCACATAAGCCCATATGTTCAATACTTTTACATTAACAAAAAATCAACTAAATTACGGTCGAAGTCAACATTCCATAATAACATTGCAAATGACTGAGGATTCGTCAAATAATTTCAAGTACTTAATCTATGTAAAATACATCAGCCTATAGCTTTTTTCTTCTAGGTTTCCAGTCAAAATGTAAAACTAAGATCTACTTGTGGTCTGATATTTGTCCAAAAATTGCATGTAAATTATGTTGCTCCTAAGATCAGTGCAACAATCATACCATACAGACCGAGCACTTCAGCGAAGATAAGAATCAAGATCATTCCTATAAAGAAACGCGGCTGTTGTGAGAATGCCCGAACACCAGCATCACCTGTAATTCCAATTGCGTAACCAGCTCCCCAGCCACATAAACCACATACCAGACCTCCAGCAAACATACTGAATCCCTGATCAATTTTAAAGCCATCAGCGGATGATGTTACACGACCGGCATATATTACAGCAACCACCAATCCATAAATTGCAACAATACCTGAAAACAAACGTAATATCGAAAGGCGAAAATGCATTACTAACTTTTTAAAGCTATTCCTAACAGACGAAAATATGAAAAAAAATCGGTTCACAACAAGGATCGTATTAAATGTTCTAACAACACTGATAACTTTGGGAACGGCCTGTTCATCACCAATTTTCTTCAAATTTGTAGATTTTTTCACAATATAAGTTACTACATTTACATTTACAAAGTGCATACTGAAAGCTTTCTAAACGTGAACAATAATAATAGTGCCAAATGGGAACTGTACTATTTTGCAAAGCTTCTTGTGGCTTAAACGACGTGAATAATACTTGAGAATAAGGAAAGTAACCAAACAATCTATTCCAAAGCGTTTTTTACTTCCTCGAGATGGATAAGCGTCCAGTAGAACTTTTACGTGGCTCACGTACCAGACTTGGAAAACTTACCTGCCATTACAACAGGTATGATAGCTTTCATAACAAGGTCAGGACGTGTAACAGCCATGGAAGCAATGCCTGTTCCTGATTTCGCAGTACCACAGGCTGATCCGGCTGCCGTGAACATCATTGCAGCGGATACTCCAAGTGTACCAAAGAAAGGTCCATACATCGCATTCTCCGCATCTACCGTAGGCTCATATATTTCTCTAGCCGACATCTCGAGTTTCTGAAACAATTTTCTTCCAACACACACATCAAAATAAAACATTTTTAGCAGTACTAACGACCCCAGGGCAACGTCTCGAGCAACAGAGGCAATCATCCTCAGACAAAACGGGTTACCTCTCCCTTTTTGCTCCTTGCTGATCACCTCTCTTCAAAAGCAATCTTCACTATTTATCGCTGAAGAGTCCTATTTCAATGAACGAAGTTAGAGATAAGTAAGAGTGTCATGTTCTCGATCAGCAGAGCATTAATAATAAGGTGATCAGGTGATACGAGTTTGGCTGACAAACGTAACAAAATTATTAGTTCTTTAGTTCTCTTGTTTCGGGAAAAGTTCTTCACCTTATCAACAGAATTATCAAGTAGTGCCATTGTCTTTTCTTTGGAATGCTTTTCACAATCTTAACGTAATATCAGGGAAAACAAATTATTACTTCACCAGGTGAGGAACACTGAGAAACGAATTCTGCGCATAATTAGAACTCAATGTTATGAGGTAACCAGAACGACGGGTCTACATAGTAAAGAAGAAAAGAATGTATATGGCACGTCTTTTTTATTGCATGACGAAGTAACGAAGAAGGAGTATCAGACTTTGCTAATTCTCGAGACTTCTTCGAGAAGTCCCGGAATGGGTTCTCGAGAAGCATGGTGACATCCACACAAACACACGAATGTGTGACAAGTACGAGAAACAAACGTATGCGACGAGATGAAAAACATCACAATGACCAAAAATCGAAGAACATTACGGTGACGCCTATATCTATAGCTGATTGGAATGGCTTACAGGCGGTGCGGTGCGTCGCGTTTTATATTAGTGTTTGGTGGGAACTGAAAAAGGCTGGGAATGAAAATTTAGACCTGTGGTGTTTTAATCGTGGTTTTACGGGGTTTCCGGAATCATATCTGGTTTGTCTTACTTCCATACTCCTTAGTTTCAGCAGGGTAACAGAGAGAAAAGTGCGGCGTAATGGCTAGGGAGATCATATTTCTAGTTAGAGACGTGGAGTTCGGTATCGGTTGCAAATTCTCACAGAAACAATGCGAACTTACTTTTTCTTACCCTCAAACTTAACTCTCTTCTCTCCGTTCTTCCTTCCCTGCTGCCTTCTTTTTGATAATTTGGGAGGGGAGGGGAGTTGGGGATGGGGGCTTTTCTTTTCCCTGAGTAAGAAAGTACTGAGAGTTAGGCGTGAAACAAATAATAGGGTGAGGATGGGGATATTACTCTTCAAGTCCGTCCACAACGGTACTTGTTAAAATATGTTGTATCACACCTTGTCATAAGGTCAATGTGAGCTGAAAGTTCAATTCAGAATTTTGGATTCCATCAGCTGTCTGTTTAGCATAGCTCAGTGCTTTGAAAAAGGTGTTGGGAAATGGGGGGTCTATGGGAAGTGGATTTTGATAGTACATTGCATGCTAAGTCTCAAGCGGAATTGTAGCCAGTAGCTGTAGGTGTTGTCATAGATCAAAAGGTTTTAGAGCCATCCTTCCAAAGAGTGTAGCTGTGGTGCTTCAAGCAAATATTTTTAGACATAAAACCAGTTAACGCTGGGATGGCATTACTGAAACTACAAAAGTATTTGAAAAATTGAGGTTCGTCGAAGAAAGGTGAAAGTGTTGAAACGTTGAATTTCAGGTTATTACTTTGAATTACTTCGATATGGGTCCAGTGGATTACTTCCCTTCATTTAAAGATTTCACTAAATAGCAACAAAATGGTGATGAAGAAACGGAAGACGAAATTGACACAATTGAAGCGACGAAATAACACGCGAAAAATGGTGACGAGAAAACGTAAGCGGAAAGGAAACATCGAGGATATAGAGGTCATTCTTTGTTTGATGTTTCCATAAGTTTAAGAGGCGAAAACCACTCTGTTAACGTATCATTGGACTTGGTAGGTGAGTCACCATTTTGGAAAGAGATATTCAACATCTGAAATGTGATTATATAATAGAAAATCAAGAAATTTCCAGCGATTTCTTTCCTTTCTGAGCTTATTTCATCCATGGAAGTCTGTAACGTGATTCCGTCCATGTTAATGTTGATTGGGATATTACACCAAGATTTCACAGTCCGCTTGGTTCAGTGGTAAAATGCTTATGTCAAATTGATACATTTTTTATAAAGTATCAGTTTGTAATACTTTTTATAAAGTATCAATTTCGTAAAAATTTTTATAAAGTATCGTTTTGTAACTTTTAGAACGTTGAATTACAATCGATACCTTCTACCTCATCCTTGCAGTCTTTAAATTCATCGTCGAAAGGGCAAGTAACTATGCTGAATGATAGGAATGATAGTGATTTGGTTGGAGGCAATTATTTTCCTTTCTCTGAACTTCCTTTGAATGTTCAGAAGAAAATTTTGACTTATTTGCCTTTGAAGTGAGTTTCTTTTGTACCCTAAGAAGTATATTTTTTTGAAATGTTCGTTTCGGTTTATTAAATTGCTTTATCTGTTTCCATTATGTCTTATTTTTTCGTTTTTTGAAAATTGTCAAGTTCTGATGTATTGGGGTACTGCTATACAAATATGCTTTTACCTAAATATAAACTGCAGATGCCGTGTACGTTTGGAGCGTGTATCGATGACATGGAAAAGATTGTTAAATATATCATGGCAAAATATTACCTTCGCAGACATTCCGTCTACTGTTACGAATTCTTTTCAAATCCGGCCAATTGATGACCATCATGTTTGTGGCTTCTTACAGAAATGCGGACGTTATTTACGCTACATTGATTTCTTTATTCCGCATGTTAATATTGGCAGACATGTATTGTTCAGGTAATTTGCATGCAGCAAAGTAGTAAAAGATCTAAGGAGATTTTTCTTGGATTGATTTTAATTTTTCGTTTGATATTTAAGGACTGTTAAATTTTATTTTAGCGCTATACTTCGCACAGGTGTTATTCTTTGTAATCCCAAGCTCTGTGTTTGCAGCATCTGTCAGAGATGTGTAAACTTGCGTGAATTGCGCCTAATAACGGATGTAAATGGTTGTGCAATGACAAATCTGCTCAAAGAATATAGCCATCAGCTGGCTCAACTCCAGTCTCTTAGTATTAGTTATCAAGCTCAAGATGAACTCTATAATGGGATGCGGTAAACTGTTTCTTGAATTTCAGTTCTGAAAATTTATTCTGTCAATAATGAGTTTTCTGTGAGTAATGTGAGTGGGAATTTACTTCTGTGTGTAAGCTCATATAATAAAATTATTCATCCTGTCACTATTACTGAGGTTGCTGAGTTTAACACAGCTTCAAAAAAGTAATTAATTTGATGGTGACTTGATTCGATTCATTTTAACTCACCCGATGTGATTGACTTGGCTTTCAGCGCTGTGGCTCGTTCGATGACAGAATTGCGTTCTTTTCGTTTGGATTGCTATACGATGCCTGCAAACGTATCCGCTTTATTTCCTAATAGTCCTCATATGAGAATCTATTCGCTTTTATTGAAACAGGTGAGATGTAGCTGATATCAGTTAAATTTGATTTGCATTCATTGATTTTGTTCCGGACTTCAAATTAGATAAAACCTTTCAGCCAGCTAATGTTAGTGCCAGCAGTAGTTCATCGATTCAAGGATCTACTCTGCAGTATGAATGTAAATATGTTCGTCCTGAATTTGTAATTGATTTCTTTGCTTATTTGGGGGATGTGTATCTCGAGCTTGAACAACTTGACATCTCATTTGATACCAATTATCCGGTGAATGAAGAGAAAATATATCATAATTTGCGGTAAGTGCCTATTTTTATTTTGTGAAATTTTAAATTTGTTTTTAATTGAAGTTCGGGATTTATATTAGAGGTTGTTTTACTTTTTCAGTATGATCGGAACAACGCGTGCATTGAAACGTTTGAATTTGCGAATTGCCGCACTGCTGGATAACAATACAGAATGGTTTGGAACACGAGCTTTACAAGCCCTCGCCTATTTTCCGACACTGACTCACTTATCACTGTGGACATGCGCTCTACCGTTTGATTTACCGCAGATATTGGCGGAATCACCGTTGGCGAATAACCTGACAGTGTAGGCTTGTTTACTGTTGTCTAATTTGTTTCGCTTATTTACCGTTACAGTGATGTAATGTTGCTATGTGGTGGTTCATTTGCACCAGCGCAGGTGGTAATGACATTTCTTCATTTATAATAATCTCATCACTCTTCAAGTGTACGTACATGATTTGATCGAAATCTAGTAGGTATCTCTTGACTTAGAATGACTGGAAGGAATTGGTAAAAAGTATATTTACTCCTAATTAATGTTTCTACTGAATTTTGTTAGATTAAATCAAATAATTCTTAACATTATTATTAGGACATTTTTTTGTATAAATAAATACCTTGACATTCAGGCTTCGATTAGCTATTGTACGCAATCTATCGAACAATATGTTATGCGCCATATTTCGTGCATTACCATCGCTCACTTCATTTACCTTAATATATAGCGTTGATGGGCGTTTCACATGTCCAGCTTGCATTGATGTGTTGACTTTCGTGCAGTTGTTTCAGGTATTGTCTAAAGCTTCCTTTCAAGTTTTTATTCAAATTTTACAATCAACATGTAGTTGAAATATTGATCGGAGGAATGCCAAAATTATAAATAACATTTGGTGACTTGCCTAAGTTGAATATAAATACGGTGTTATAGTCGATATCATATACTATATTTCGGTTTTCCAGTATTGCCCCAAGATAAGCGAGCTGGAACTCCATGATTGTGTTACGGTGGATATTACACGCTTGGCTATAGCTGCCCACTCGCATTTTCATAATTCAAGCACTTCTTTAGGGTATGTTTCCTCATTCCTGTCCTTGCTAAGGTTTTTCGATCTATTTTCAAAAAAAAGTGTAAGTGCAGATTCAAATATATTTTATTGTTTTTAGAAGTGATGGTTGTCTGAAAATAGTAGTAAAAACAAGAGAGCGTAAACGACGACGTGATTCGTTGAATAGACTACTACGCTGTTGTACAGAGATTGAAAGCACACAAAATACAACTATTGTTAGTATCTACAAAACATGCTGTCATCTGAAAAAAACACCAATTCTTCCTGAACATCGATAATTTATCCTTTGATTTTATCATCTGTCAAGTTTTTGTACCCGTGTATTGCGTTTTAACTTACTTATTTAGAGAAGTTTTTTCAATAGTGGTAGTTGATATTTTGATTTTGAGATCTTTTTTATTTCTAAAACACGTTCGAATTGCTATTTTTGGCAAATTGCCTGAAACTTTTTTGTGCTTGTATCTAAAACTGGTCAACTGCTACTCTATGACTTAAATGTGATCACTGTCTTTTGAATTGTTTTCTGCGTCTTTCCTTTCGACTTTTTTCACCTTAATTTTTTGTATAAATAGTTTGAAATAACAGATATTTGTCGGCGTTTTTCATATTGTTTTCACTGGTAGGGAAGATTTCTACCTTTTCATTTTTTCAGATGGCTCCCTTTATGTATCAAAGCGGTTTTGAGAACTTTCGAAAATTTCGTTGTTTTAGACTGAAAGGTACATACTTTCAGAATCTTCCTCGTTTTAATGACTTTTCACTGTTACTCTTCCACTGCCCTGTTGATGTTTTTTTTGTTGCTTCCATTATTCCAAATTTCTTAATTCCGAAAAATATTGAATCTTGATTTGAGCTGGAAAATTAAGAATTAGAACCGATTACTATGACGGCAGCTCCTTTTTATTATGGCATGGTATTTGACGTTTTACCTCTTACAGCATGGTAATAATAACCTAGTATTTTATATGTTTTAGCTTTACTTTTTGCCAAAACAATGTTTTATTGTGGGAAAATGAAAAAATTGAAATTCCATTTTTCTTTCAAGTTGAAAATCGGAGTGTGAGGCTAAGGCTTATTTGTTTTTGTCAATATTTAGTCCTGTAAAGTATTTTCTACTGTAAAGTATTTGCGTTTGCCGGGTTTTTGCCTCACATACTTCTGTGCCACTTGCTGCATGTTGTTTTCTGCTGCTTATTACTGGCTTTTTCTGTTTTTGTTCAGTTGTAAAAATATTTTCATAAATTTGTTAGAGTATGTTCTGAGCATTTCCTTAATTTATAGTTTCGAAAATTTTTAAGGGTGATTTGAAATAACTCCGGAAATACTTTGTATTCTCGAATGTTTTTTTTGAAAGTATTTAATTCGCTTCATGGTACTGTTCAGTATCTTCATTATATGTTACTTGCAATCATTTTGCTCTTGTTCAGTATTCTATCATTTATTGTAAACGGTGGAATTTCAACTGCAAAATTTTAACTGGTAATCTTTGTTAGGTGAAGTTTTATGTGCCGGTATTTCTGTGAAACTTTCGGTGTATTTTACATTTCATTCCTTTCCTAGTTAGTAGTAATATCTGTTGTTTGTTTCGTGCTGGGCTTAAAGGTCAAAGTTGTTTTTCTAGTTAACTGTTCTGCATCTGTTAATCGTTTTCTTTGTTGCAGGAAGAAAAGTTATCTGAATATATTATAGAACTGCTTGCTTTCTTCAGATGAAATAGGATTTTTGTTTCGACACAAAGGGGGAACCTAGATCAGGAATATTTGAAATGTAGCAGAGATTTGTGGAGAGTGATGGATTTTAATTAGGTGGGTGAAGAAGCTCCTTACGATAGCTTGTTGATCTCGGGCAGGAATGTGACTGAGAAGGAAGTGGGAAGCAGATTCAGTTGGAGGAATTACACATATATCTGAACTTCGAAGAGAGATTTAAGTTTTACATCGTTGATTTTGACTGATTTGGGAATAAATTTGAAGTCGTGCTGGTTTGTGTTTAAGATCCGAACTGGATTCCTGCGTCTTTATCAGTTCCTGTGTAAGGTACACTCAGATGCGACATACCACTGACGGGTGAATTCAGTGTTGGGATGGGGATATATTGCTGATGGAGGGAGATATGAAGTAACCATAGGAATTTTGTTATTTGGATATAATATTGATATCTTGGAGCATTACTTTGTCATCACAAGCACCAGTGTTCATATCGTGGAAATCATTTTAAAGTCTCAAATCAGAGGATTTTCAAGTTCTTTATAGCTGGTGCTATTCAGTTGTTCGAGATGCGTCTCAGCATCATTTGAGATGGGATATTCGAATACGGTCAACGATAGGGTAATATGGATGCAAAACTTCAATGAACACAATTAAATACATATACTATGAGCGTTTTGACACCTCATTTTTCAGAACGTCTGCTTGTTACCCTGAAATGTCGTAGTGATGATTTTAGTTTTAAATGCAGATTCGATATCTGAAGAGGAAGATATTCAGCGGTTAGTCTTTCATTTGCGGATTATTTCAGAATAAAAAGACTTGAAGTTTTTTCTTTTTTCAAGCAATTATTTGGTCAGTTCCAACTCTCTCAGAGAAGAAATTTTGCTTAACTATGCTTAAAAAGTGGGTCATGAAAATCTTGATTTGTTTCGAATTGTTTGCCGTTTCTGTCGAGCAATTTGTGCTGTTTTCATGGTTTATGTATTGGATTTCGACTCATAGTTATTCTATTAATATGATATCATTAGCATTTTTTCAAGTTATGTGGAAGAAGGAATCTGTAAAGAAGCCTTCCACTTGGATCTGTATCATCGGTATGGTACTTTTTACCATATTTGTTATTGGAAGCTGGAAAAATTACGTTGATTCAGATTATCAGCTTTTTCACTGGTAGGTTATCATCGTATTACGCTAATACAGATTGATAATAGCATAAATCATTTCTTTATGGAATCGATGAACTCAGATGAAATCGAGGTTGAATATTAATACTCTAGTGGTTGCTTAATTTTTTCGATTTAGGCATGTGCCACTTGCAACTGCCGTTCCAACTCATATGTTATGTGTGTTAGTGCCATATCGTGATCGTGAGGAAGAACTACAAATATTCGTTCCTCATATCTATCGTTTCCTCAATGAACAACGTGTTCTTCATAAGATAATTGTTTTAAATCAGACGGATGCATTAAGATTTAATCGAGCATCGCTGATTAATGTTGGATGGTATGAAGCAGATCGAGTAAATTGTATAATATTTCCGCCTTTTTTATATTCCTTTATCCTGGCAGAAAACATAAACGTTTACATTTAACGAATTCCAATAAGGGTCGCTCTTAAGTGTTTTAAGTACTTAACTTTTCATATTTTAGGTAGGGTGTGATTATTTGGTTATGCATGATGTCGATCTTTTACCTCTAAATCCACAATTAGATTACTCATATCCAGGAAAAGGTATTGTTCGACATATATCTTCTCCGGAATATCATCCGAAGTAATTTCTTATGCATTTTTTTTTTTTTTTTTTTTGACAAGCAAGTACTGGTAAGGTTCCTTTATTCTTTTATTCACAGGTACAATTATACGAAGTTCGTTGGCGGTATTTTGCTTTTGACAATGTCCGATTATAAAACAGTGAACGGCATGTCAAACAAGTACTGGGGATGGGGTTTGGAAGATGACGAATTTTATCTTCGTTTAAGGTAAATCTGTTTTATGTATTAGTATACTGAATTTAATTATGGACGGAAATAAAAAGGCAAGTTATAAAAAAAGAAGAGCATTGTTAAATAGAATGTTCTTCTTAACAGAAGATGATCTGATTTTTTAAAAATATTCTAATTTCTTGGTTTGTGAAGATAACTTTAAGGGATGCAAATTTGCTCTCATCTTTGCAAAGGCCAGTGAATTTAACATCAAATCGTTCCAATACTTTTCGCCACATACACGATCCAAGACTGCGAATGAGAGATTTCAAGATATACGGAAATCAAAAACAAGTAAGCTTTAATTTTATTATTCATAGAGTCCTTTAAAGTAATTCAGTTTATATTGCTTTGTTGTACTTTTAGTACCAAATGTAGTTTAAGTAAATCATTGCAAAGGCTTGCAACTCCTTTTAGATGACTCGCAAAAGAGACCGCATTAGTGGCCTGAATTCTGTAAAATATCGTATCACTGGACGAAATTTACTCAATTTTCAAAAGCGACCGGTGGTTTCTGTGCTCAATATTGAATTAGAATGTGACTTGAAATGGACGGATTACTGCAAAGCATGATATAAATAGTTCTTCTTAAGTTACATTGTTTCTTTCTTCTAATAGTACAATTTCACCTTTCATATGAATTTTGTTTCTAAGAATCCCCACTTGCAGTTTGAGTACGAGTTGAATGTAGTAATAGTACTTTGTCAAAATGCTATGATAATGAAAATTTATCTATCCCGAAAAAATTTCATTCATTATTTTATTCAGCCATTCTGTTGTTGTAAAAACCATAAAGTGAAAGTTTTTTCATGCAATACGTTGCAGTTTTGGTTTAGATTTTTTTTGGTCTAGCTTTATAAATGTTACTATCCTGAACTGTGAAATGTTTATCCAAGTGGGTCGCAGTGATCTGATTGTAGAATTATGTCGCCGAAAACTTTATTCTGAATTGAACTTTATTCTGAATTTGAAACTTTATTCTGAACTTTATTCTGAATTGAATTGACCGGTTTAGAAGAACTAAAATTTATTTTGAACGATTTTGTGAAAATTACTACGCAGTTTGTGATGTATGAAGATTCGCAGCAGTGTAAAAATGGCATCACCTGGAGAGCGTTCCGTTGTTTTATAAAATCCCATCTGGCCATTTCACAGCAAGAAATTTATTATTTGTTCTAATTTTTGATACCACTGATGCATTTCGTTTTTCGTTAAATTATAAATATTGTCTACCTTGAACTAAAGCTTCTCTTACTTTTTTTTTGGATTTTATTCACGGAGTTACATATCGTAACTCTTGTAAGACAAAATGTTAGCAGTTATTAAAGCTAAAAGCGGTGCTACGGACAAGATAATAACATTACATAAACATCTGCACTAAAAACTGTATTTCTAGTCTCATGAACTTAGGCTGTGATGTGACTGTTCGTAGTTATACTTGAAATGAATTGTCTTTTAAAAAACATTACTTGGATAATACATAGGGTGCTCCCACTTTTAAACTAAATTTCTTTTTTTGACTTAGGTTATGCTTAGTCCTTGTTGGAACTGACAAATTTTATGCTTTATGCTCAAGAATAAAACTTCCATTCTCTGATTTGATATTTCTTTTTAATCCCGTATAATAAAGGCAGTTTGTAAATGTATCTTGTCTGCTTTATGAGTAATATGATGCGGTGACGATTGATGATTTGGTGATATTGTAATCAGATAGATGGCAAAATTATTCATGGACATATACATATATATATATATATATATATATATGTATATATAGATGGATGGATAAATAGGTAAGTAGATTAGATAGATAGGTCAAAGAAAATCACATCAAATTACATCGGTCATTTCTTTAGCCGGTTCATCACTATTTGATGTGGATAGTCGTGAATTTTCCAAGTTCTATACTTGTATCGTAATTACACTCAGAAAGTATAATTAGCTTTTGCCGAGATGAGTTGCATTGTCATATGAATGGTATGATGGCTTCATCTTGCTAAAAGATGGAGGAATCTTTTATGTGGTAAAGAATATCCTTATTTAGATTTACAATTTCCGCAACGTATTGAAAATATTTCTGTACTGCTGTATTCATATATGTTCATACGGCTGGCCAGCTGTGGTTGATTATTGAATATGTTTCTTTTTGACTTATTTTGGATTAGGGAGCTGTTTGCTTTTGATTTTATTGATTTTATAGTAATGAGTTTGGGAATCGATGGTGTTGCCGTTTTAGCCGATCTTCACTGGCTTCTCAAGGAGTCCGAAATGAGGTGTTTGGTTGACGCTGAGCAGTGGTATGCTTCAGTTTTTTGTTTTTTAACGCAGCATTTAAACACACATCCGCGGATATGATTTCTGTAACTCTCGTTGATTTTAATTACTTAATATGCTATAGTTTAAGTTCATTAGTATTGGTATTTTTCCGATCAGTTCGTGGATGACAAGTAGAATGTCAGTTTAATTGTTTTAGGGCTAGCGAAATGCTATTTTATGTCAGTGAGGATTGGCATAGTTCCTATGTGAAGCATAAGTCGGCACAACCAGAAACAGCGCAGATGGATTACAGTACGACCGAGCCACATTTGGTCAAAGTTGCTGCTTTTGGTTCGTTTTCGTAGGAAGAATCCAAATAAAAAAGTTTGCATAAAATAATGTTTAACATATTTTATGCCTATACATTTCATTACCTGTACATTTGGTGCAGTGTGTTTCATATTGATTGCAGAGCATGCTAAACATAACTATCATAGCTATCAGTTTATGTTTCTGAGTGTTACTAAACTTTTTGCAGGTAGAGCTTTAATCAAAAAAAAGGAATTTTATCGAGCTGCTTATTTCCTGAAACAAGTAAAAGTTTCGTCATATGATCGTTTCATGTATTACTGGGCGAGATATTTGGTTAGCATTTTACTGTTTCTTTTTTTAACTTAGAAATCTTACATTATTCATTAGGATGGGGTTTTTGGAAACACATAGACCATTATAACCTGGAAATAGGAGTTTTCGGAATATGTTTTGCGTTACATTTTATTACTGGAAAGTGGACTTCTGTGCTATCGACAAATTATACTTAGCTAGACATTTTGGATTAGTATAGGTAAGTGCTTCATTTTTCTTCACTCTTAATCGAATAGGGAGTACATGATGCAACATTGTTCATTTTCACGCTGTTTATGTTTTTTTAGCACCATTAAATTTTACATAACACAAAAAACAGGCGTATGAATATAATCGACTTGAAACTGAGGCAGATTCAATTGGTCGAATGGAGTACGACGATTCGGAACTTAAGGAACTTCATAATGAGCTTTGTCTGCTTGGTAGTGATCATCCGGAATATTTCGATACATTTCTTCTATACATGTTAGTTTGTTTTTTTTTTTTTTTTCATAACTAACAAAATATTCTTGTCAGCACAGTCACCTTAAAGAAGCGTCTTGGACTTCATATTATCTGGGAAATAATCGAATAAAATCTAGTACTTGTGATAATCCTAGTTTCGAGATAAAGGAAAACTTTTGCAGTCTTGCAAAGGTTCGTTGCAGTCTGAAATTGAAGGATAAAGCAAAGGAAGCATTCCTTGAATCTGTAGCATTGAATCGAGCTATGTGGCCTTCATGGGAGGAGTTGATTATGCTTGTAGATTCTGTGGACGAGGTAAGATGAATTCCAGAAAAGTAACATATATTTTGTTCAAACAATTTCCATTGCTTTCGCATGAATTTTTCCTACTACACAAAGTATGACGTCCATATTGGAAAATCAATTACTTTCTTCTCTGAACCTTACACTTGGTCCAGAAGTTTCGTTTTCGAAATCATATTTGATTTAGAATTAGTAGTCCCGTCGTATTTCAAATTCTGTATTTACTTGATGACCACTGTTGCAGGCTGAAACAGAGGCGTACTCTGCGGATGGACACTGGATGTATCAGTTCTTTAGAGCTGCAGTTCTTTCTCGCTTTCAATTGCACAAGAATGCATTAGAGCAGTATGAAAAGTTGAGCGAATGCGGTTTCCTAAATATGCCTTACATTATGAACCAAGTTGCTGCTTCGTTAAATAATATGCAAGGTTATCAACCGACTAATCTTTTTCAAAAACGTCAACACAGTTTTATTACTTTTACTTTTATATTTTATATGAAAGTTATATTTTATATGATTTTTACACTTTTGTATTTTATAGTTTATACTTTATATATCTTTTGTGTTTTTATATTTTATATTTTTTTTATATTTTACTGTGACTTTTAATTCAGAACATGATATGGCGTTGGAATTTTTCAAAAAAGTGCGCAAGATTGATCCATATCGCGTGGAACAGATGCATTTATTCTCCGATTCTTTATATGTTCGAGTAAGTCGATCTTTGACTTGGAATAATTTTCGAGGATTTGAAAATAGACGAAAGTATTTCGAAATCCATTTTCATTTGAATTATTGCTTACCAATCTATTTATGTATATTCTAAGTCCTAACTTCCCATTTCTTTCAGGGTTTTCGTTCAGATTTAGCCGATCTTGCTCATACTTTCTTTAAGACACACAAATTTTGCTGGGAAACATGCTGTATAATAGGCAAGTTTTCTATTTAAAAAATTTCTTCGTGTAAACCACGAAGAAAAAAAAGTAGAATTTTTTGAAAAAAAAAGTTTTGAAAACAATATAGCAATTAAAATTTTTTTGGAAATAATACAGCAATTAGTTCGAAATAACTTGAAATCGATCTCTTGTTGAACTACTGGTGCTTTTAGTATTTCACAAGATCTCGCTATTTAGGAAACTGAATTTCAGCGAATTACTATAGTTTGAGAGGTGAACATGAGAAGGCAGTTGTTTTCCTGCAGCGCTCACTTAAGCTCAATCCTAATAATGCAGCAGCATGGACACTAATTGGTCATGAGTTCATGGAACAAAAAAATAATCCAGCTGCATGCCTTGCATATCGGAAAGCAATCGGTACCTCACATATATTGTTACACATATTGCTTTTCATATTGAAACGTGCTGAAATTTGAAGTTAGACTAAATCCTGAACCATAGATCACTAGAATGCATTCAATGCTGTTTGCCGCTATACGGCAAGAATTAAAAGTAAAATGTAATTTGCTTTTCTCGGCGCATATGCGGGACTAGAATTTAAAGGTATACTTGCGTCATTAGTAACTAATTTGACGAATGTGATTTTCATTAGAATTTGATGATAACTTTAGAAGCTGATTCACATGATTATCGTGGCTGGTATGGTTTGGGTCAGCTTTATGATATATTGAAAATGCCTTCATATTCGCTCTACTATTATCAGCAAGCTCACAAATGCAAGTAAGAGTTACTTTTTTCATAATGTTAACAACAAATCAAGAGATAATTTTTAAAGATAGAATTTGTTCCGAGAATTTCGGGCTCCTCAGAACGTCGGCAACGTGAATCTTTTTGAAAAAGATTACGTGGAGCTTGATCTAAAATCACGGTATTCCATAAAACAAAGGTGAGCTAAGTAGTCCTGATTGCATACAGAATTTGAGAATGGAATTAAAGTGGACTGTACTCGAAATGTTCAGTTTCTATGTATTTCGCTGTCCAATGTTTATTGCTTTACAGACCGGATGATTCGCGTATGTTAGTTGCGTTAGGTGAAGTTTATGTCCGACTTAGTCAAATTCCCGACGCTCAGAAATGTTTTCTGAAAGCTTATAAGGTTGGAGACGTCGAGGGAACTGCGCTTATGCTACTTGGAAAGTGAAAAATATTTTCTTTTTTCCCTTTTTTGGTTTTCATTTATATTTATGTACATATGTAGTACGACTTTAGTTCACTTTTTTTTGTTGTAGACTCTATGCAAAGTGTTACGACAATGATCAAGCTGCATTAATCTATGAAAAATATTTGAATGTCTATGGTGAAGAATTCGTGAGTTACCTGTCTTCTCACATTTTCCTTCGCACGTCTTGTTTCTCGCAAAAGATGGCTGCACTCATTTTGTGTTTAACATCACTTCCTTCTGCAGTGTTATCGCCCATATAAAATTTTAGATGGATGACTTGAATAATGTTGCAACATGTTGTTCTTTCCTTGCCAAATATTATCTGAAAAAAGGTGACCTGGATACAGCTACTCCGTTTGCACAACGTTGCCTAGAATATGACACCGTACGTTTATTTCCCATAGAATGCGCATAATTAACGTTTTGGAAGTGATATTTATTTGTAGTTTATTATTGCAATTAACTAAATTCATTTCTAGACAAAAGAAGAAGGACGAAATACGTTGCGCCAAATAAGTCAACTACATCATCGATACAGCGTATTGCCTGAAACACTTGTTGCTGCATCAAATGCAACACCAATGGTAGCCATGCATCCTGGAAATGTCCAGTGTCAGGGAATTCATGTTTTACCTTCAGAGAGTTCAACGTAAGCTAAATTTTTGTCGAATTAATAGATAAACTGCAGCAAGTAGATAACAATATCTCTTATATAATAATTGGTGAAAGTTCTTTTTTTTCTTGTACCATCTGGAATTGACTTTTACAATAAATGTTTTTATAGCCCTCTTCATGGTTTCCGGACACCAACAATCGAAGAAGGCGAGGCTGAAATGGCCATCTCATCTGATGCCTCCGATGTTTCCGACGAATCATCTTTGAATGCTTCATACTAAAAATGTTCCTAAGAGTTTCTTCTAATACAGTTGAGAATCCTTATTTCTGAAGTAGCATTCCAAACTCCATTAGAACTCAGCTGTGACTTGGTTAATTGTAAAGTGCATTGGTTAACAGTAATTTTACCCGCTTAGAAAGCAAGGGATTTTTCCCGCTAAGGAACTCCGCGCAGCAAAATAGTATACTCTCAAAAATATAAAATATACTTTACTTCACTGACTTCAATCTCCTCTTCCAGTTCTTTGCTTTTCCAAAAGTTTGTCCCTAAGTTTACAGATATGTTACCTCTATAACCGACTTAAGACCAGAGATGCTCGAAATTCGTTACAATTGTTATAGTTTTAATGTTATATTCTAGCTATATTTTAAATTACTTTTAGCAATATTTTAGACTACTCTCAATGTGAATTAATTCAACTGCGCCAGTTTTTGGAAAATTGCTACAAAGACTGATTGGGACCCTTACTATTTAGAACTAAAAACGCTTAGACGGTAAATTTTATCTTCTAGCTGAACCTTCTAGCTTCTAGCAACTGTTTCTTTGTTTACTTTCCATTCTCTACTTGAAGTAGAACTAAAGCAAAATGAGAATTAAACTGTCCACCAATCCATGTCATACTGCTCGGTCTAAAAGCCGAAAATCTGTTCTTGAATTACTGTTTATCCAAGTTTTTATATAAACCATTAAAAAGAATTAATCGCTACTAGAATCACTACAATAATCAGCCAAGCCTTGAAGGGCAGATAATGATGGAGCTAGTGAAATCGGTTGTGATTTCCTACCACTTTCACATTTTTTTGAAATGGAATATTCTGGTAAATCTTCAGGACTGCCAATTGCATCCTGAATTTCTGTTTTTACAACCATCGGTTCACTCCTTCCCATTCTTTGTTTCTTGATAGTAACAATTCTTGATAAAAGTTCCTTTTGCGATGTTCGTTTATGTGCTACCACATTATCTTGTCCTGACGTGTCTGGTTTCAAGTTTGTTCTGTCGGCAGATGAACAACTTGGTTTCTGATCTTCAACAGGCTCATGTTTTATTTCTTGTTTCACATACATCGGTAAATCCATATCTTCGTTTTCATCATCCAGTATTCGTTTAATAACTTTACCATCCTCCATCCTTCCGTATAATTTTTGGATGAATTTTTCATCTTCTTCTTCCTGTAGCCGCACAGTCTGAAACAAATTCTTGTACTTAGAAATGTAACGATGAGAAATTTGTACTATATGTCTTACCAGCATTAAAAGAATTTGGTAAATAATATATAAATTCAAGTCACCTCTGCTTGAATCCCGATTAGATTTTGGAAATACTGGTCAGGGCCAAATGTTTCATGGCGTCGATTTGTCTCTTGTAATTCTTCTAATTTACCTGAAAGTTGAGGATTTCAGTTTATAAAAACTATATATATTTGTAGTGCACTTCTATCAACGCTAACGACCAATCATAGTTCGGTGGTTCGAGTAGCTTGAAACAGTGGATTTCTCTTCGCAATTTAGTTCATGCGTAGGCCAATTGCCGATGACAGACCACCTGCAGCATCAATGGGAAACTTCCATAAATCAAGTAATTCAACTTATTCATCACCAACAGCTTGGAATGTTGAACTTCTATTATGTTTTAGGATACCATACTGTATAGCTTCAAATTAAAATTCACAGCGATAGATGTGGTTTTTAAGCATTCGAAGAAACACTGCCAACACAACAGGCTTATGCAAACACTGTTATATCTCAAAGGTGAGTCGATTCAATTAAACATACTGACAGCCTCAAACGTGCAATTGGCAGATGTTGCCATGACGGTAAATGTGCTTACTTGGAGTAGCTATTGCAGTAAATGTAACTTCCTTATGATCATTTTCATTAATTCATTTACTTACCCAATGCTTCCATTTCGGCTCGGCTCATTTTTGTTCTTTTTTCAAGCATTTTCATGGGATCTTTCTTCTCCTCCTCCTCTTTCGTTTCTTTTGCTTTCTCCTCCTGCTGATACAGCTTGAAGGCTTCGAAAAGGCGAGTTGCTCCATGTTCTTGCTGATAGTCACAATTTTCCAGATCCGTTTTAAATGTTATTTCAGCCAAACAGTTTGGACATCTGTAAGACACAATATGCAAGATCATAGACTTTAGAAATTATGAACGAAACTTGAAAACCAAAAAAAAGAAAATGAAGTCACCAAAAAAGAACTAACCGAAAATAAAATCGAAAGATTTTCAACCCCAAATAAGTCTCGCCGTCCGCGGTCTCACGTCTCATGTTAAACTTTTTCCCCTAAAAATGAATGGGAAAAAAACTTCGAAAGTAAGACTAATGATACAGTGCTTATATTTCATTCTAAACTTTCCATGCCACTTTTACAACTTGTATATATAATATCCATAGTTGACTGCAAAGCTTTATGACAATCAGCATCATAAGGCATTGAATCAAGACCAGCTTCTCTTTTCAACTCACCGTCAATGATCACAAAGGGACTTGAAATTAAAGCAAGTATACCTTGTATATGTACTCATGGCAAGTATCGCACTGCATATTATAAGGTGCCATTACACGTTGCACAAACTGCCTGTTGCGCTGTCCTTTTGCTCGTGGGATTTTCGAGGGATCAAAATCTGGCGGATAATATTTCTGGAAAATTTATTTCTTTCAATAAGACAAACTTACAAGTAAAATCACTGAAGAGTTGCAAACTAATAGCAACGAGTTGGATTAAGCTTCACGGTCGAGTGGGCCTGCGAAACTTGTAAAATATTTCATTTATATCAAGTTCATGAAGGCAATTTACTATTAGATTTCTTCACTTGCACTGACTCCCTTTTTAAGATGATTACCAGTGGTAAATTTTGCTATTCGATAGTCATCACAACATGGAGGAGGGAAAATGAAGGAGCTATTCTCGGTACCCATCTGTGTGCTAGTTTTGTTGAAAGGTTTTACAGTGCAGTGAAATTTTATAATGAGATCTGGAATTTGAAACTGAATTACATTGCAAAACTAACCTGAAAGACCTTCCTCTCTGTGCCAGTCATATCTAATTACTTGCGTCACACACCTGAAATCGAATCCTCAATTAGTTGTAAATGGGAAGGATGACAAGGTACACCAGCCTCCTCGGTCATCCTGCGGCGGTCCGTTGAATAGAAGAGTCTTTTGGATGAGATGAGGTTTTTCACAGGGTGTTTTAGCTTCCAGAGCTCCATGTACCTGCTTTGTCTCTGTGATAGATTTCGTGAAAGTTAGGTTTCAAAGAAGGTTGCAAATAAATTCAATAACCAAACAACTGTACCTGAACGGAGTAAAAGAGAAAAAAAGAGGTAGGAATCGCTCTCTCACGGGTCAATTAGACGATGCATTCCAGCCTTAAATTTTACGGTAAAAATGTCCTCAGTATCACTGAGAATTTACAAACTAACAAATAACGATAAAATAAATGGGAAGTTATTTGGATGCAGTACATTTATCAACAAAAATAAGTTCATATACTGGTCAACTTCGTGATTGGACACCTGCAACACTAGTCTCCTTCAACAAGTTTCTCATCATCGAAATTGATGTTGCACGTAGATAGCTGAATGAAACATTCATTGTGTCTTATAAGTTTGAACAAAACAGCTGCTTATGTATAAAAAAGAATTACACTGTTCCAAAATAAGTAACGTTTTTGAAAGGATTTCGGGTTTTTGAAAGAATGGATATTCAAGAAATTTCAGGCTTTTAGTTACGAGTATATAATGCGTATTGAAGGGTTAAAACAAGAGCTGATTCTTTTCAAATTGCTTCGAATTTTTTTGGTATTAACAGAAAGCTATATTTTATAAATATAGTGAGTGGCAAAATTAAGTGTGGTTTCAGAATTATGTAGATGGGTGAGAACAGAAATGTAAAAGATCTTAGATAATAAAAAATTATGGAATGCTCCAGAGAGATGATGTACGTTTTTTCTAAAAGTGATAATCACAGCTATGAAACAGAATAGCTTTGCACAGATATAATGAGAGGTCATTCTCAGTAATTATCGAACTTTTTAAGTACTTACACAAATGATAACAGAACTTGATAGTAAAGTTTTTTTTGTTCAACTTTTAGTTTTAATATCGAAACGTCCCGTGATTTTTCCACTTCTTATTAAATGATAAACTTTAGAAGCCAAAACATCAGCTCACACTTGTGAATCTCAATTAATCATTTGGCCTGAAGTTTGATAGACACATTTACAGTTCTACAATGAGAGCTTTGTTACTGGTATTGAGTTCTAGATGCCATAATCAAATAGTATAAGGTACAAAAATATGTGTTAATTCTCGTTTTTTTTTCTTTTTTAGATAAATGTGAATGAACTGGAGGAGAGAGATGTTAATCAAAATGTTGTTAGGGAAGTATTACAAATATTATAGTACATGGGAATCATTTCTTTACATTTTTTAACTTAGTTTTATGAACAAGAAAAATTGATTTTGCAAGGATACTTTCACCATTCCTTATCATAAATTCATAAATTTTAAAATTTCTTAAATTACTTTGCTTAACAGCCACAGCTATCGATTTCATTTTGAATGAATTATTAGCTGGTGAAATTGTGTGTGTGTATATCTGTTATTCGGCATAGGTGAAAGACAAAAAAAAGGCATGAATGAAGGAATATGAGGAAGAAAGAAAACCTGATCCAGTCATTTAGTTCTGATGATCATAACGACCCTTCCTTTTTTTAGCCACAATTGATTATTTAAGTATACGAATGTAAAAAGCATAAAATGTGCAGTTCTCTACTGAAATTAAAAAAAATTCGAAACCTCGAGTGTTACCAAAAAGTTTCTGATTAGTTTCGTGCAAGAAATTTTATTAAGTATTTTTGATTTTGTTCAAAAAGTAAAGTTTTAAAAATTTAAAGCCACCCTCCTCTGACATGTAAGCAATTAATTTTTTCCAATAATATAAATATAGAGGAGACTCGAAGTTTTCAAAATCTGCATAATATGCAAATGTGCTCAAAACATTGTTCATAAATAATAACATTTTAACGATATGGTTGCATTGGTTTCTTACTCGTAGTATAGTGTTGTAAAGGAGTAATTGAAGTGAAGTGCACTTGGAACAGAATCAGTTTGTTATCAAGAAATAAACGATACGATACGATCAAATTGTATTATTGCCGTGGACAACTAACGAATAATCATTTCCCTTTTTTTATTGAACGATTTCTTTGAGTTTCGTTTCATTGCCCTTTTTCTCCCCGCAATGATTTTATTTGCAATATAAAATTTTTCGTTTAACCTTTAATTTCGTTAGTTTCTTTTCATTTCCATACTGATAGTTTCAACTTTCTTACTCATTGGATGAATATTATCCGGCTAAATACTTTAATTTAATTTGAAATGCGTTATATCAAATATTTAAACAATTTTGGCCTCATAAAAGAGATAGATATTTTCGCTTAATAAAACTAACGGGAAAGGAATTTTTATTGATTTAACTTGAATTCCATTCGTCGCTAGCTGGTTTCACATTCGTTATGCTAGATAAATGTTCATGCTCTTAATTGCGAGCCGTATCTATCCATATGAATGAAAATTCACTTTTAAGTGAATTTCCACTTAAAGTACTTAAAGAAAATTCACTCTAACGAATAATAATGCTTGTAATAGCACTTTGTTTATTTTATCCTAGCTATCATGCAATCAAGCTGCATTTTAAATGAATCATCCTGCAATTAAATCAATCAAATCTGAGCAGTAAGAATCACGGAAGTGGTATGACACAAATTTCTTTCAGACCGGTTTTCAATCTTCACATTTCTCTCTTCACAATGTTGTCTTGGTGCTTCTTTTCCCTGCCCTGTATACGTTTTATTTATATTATCAGTATATTCTGTGAATATTTCCCATCCGTTAAACAAACAGATTATTGGACAGTGTCATATCATACCTTCCAAAACGATAATCATGTGTGAGATACGTGAAAGTATTGAAGACTTCGACCACTTTTTTCTTGCATTGCTGAAGTCTTATAACTAGCATAACATTTTCGTCGTGAACTACACTTTATTCTTTCCCCATCATAAGCAGAGGATGAAATAAAAACCGATAGCTAATTAAAATGTGAGTAAGACATGCGATGTCATCAACATAGCTGCGTATTCCAATAAGTTGTATAATTTCCAGTACTGAAAGTAATCATAAGAATAGTATTTTCCTAAGATGCGGAATTATGCTACTAACATTTTTCTGTCATAATCTCGAAATACACAAATTCAAATACAAAGTCAAATACATAGTATAGTTCGAAATACAAAGTCACAAATTCACTTGCATTGCTGAAGTCTTTATCATTTTGCATGTTTACATCATAGATTGCAAACATTTCTGATCACTGAAATAAATTGAGAGTCGTTTTGGTGGACTCAGTTCGGATATTTAAATTTCCATAGAAGCCCTGTCTAAGTGACGGAGATGCACGTACCGTATGTTTTCACCTGAACTTGTATAGTATTATATTTATTTTTGTTTTGTTACATTACAAAAGGACTCAAAAGGAGATTTTGGAATTTACACTGTCTGTACAAATTAAAATTTCTCATTTGTGTTAAAACATTCTTTTGAAGAACGTATGAGTAGAGTGAATCACAAAGACCATAAGAAAATTATCGCTTCAAAAATTGTAGGACATACTGTACTCAACTCTAACGTCAATCTTTCTTCTTAATTGCTTTTTCAATTTCATATAACAATGATACTTTACCTTCAAATACTTAAAATAGTAATGGATGATAGTGAAGAAGAAAAATCTGATAATATCTTAATGGTAAAAATGATTGTTGCCGTTATTCATTTTCGAAACTAATTTATTTCCTGAAATTAATTTTATAATTTCATCAACTGCTCATTTCATTCGTTTTATTTATTTAGTACAAATAGGGATGAAATTAATAAGAAAATGATAAAAAAGTACGAATTCGACCAATAACGGCGCCTTTTACAGATAACTGGCAGGGTTTTATATTTG